TAAAAGAAATCTATTTTTCGAGCCCAGATCGAGTGGCACGCTGTTACAGAGACGCCCTCTTAAGCCTTATTTTCGAGGATTTTATTTTCAGCGTATAAATGTGCTTCCGCTTAGCATCGTAGCATTCACACGTACTCTAGATTCGGTGGTAAGGCTTCATGGACGAACATTACATGCAGAAGTGGGGCAGCGCCAAAAACAGCGTAATCTGAAGAAAATACGGTAGCTTATTGTCAAATCGTTCTGTTTGCGTTTTTGTTGTTTTCCGTTCAATGAAGCCATCATTACAACGTCGATTGTGTGAATTTATTTTTCCAGTGAAGAAGCAGCGCGTGCTTTGTGGTTCGCCCGAACATTCTTCGATTTAAGTCAAGTGACTATGATTCTATTTTGATAAAAACATGCATTAAAGTCAGGATCAAGACGAAAAAATCAATGTTAGTTTATACAAGCTTTAATGAAAGTCTAAATTCCGGTTATTTACGTGCCATAATACAGCGTCTTAGTTGTGGTTTAAGTTGATGCCGACATTTCGATGCCGACTTGTATGCAAACTCTAAAGTTTTTCTAACTTTCAACCATCTATGAGATAAAAAATGTGAAAGAAATAACCAAGAATAATTCTATTGAACTGTAATAGACGTGATTTTGAAGCGTTTGGATTTGAATCATTAGACAATCCTGGTTACGACAAGAAAGTGTGTTTTTTTTTTTTTTGCCGGAACGGTGTAGCAGTGTCACCAAGAAGTAAACTCTATTTCTTTTGTTTCATAGCCTTTTCAGTCCAAAATTTTTGAATCAATGTTTTAAATATCAGCAGCATAGATCATCACTTTTAATAATATGGTGGCTCCTAAAAGAGCCGTTGTATAGTTTTAAACTTGACGAGTTATCCTTCCTTGGCGGTCGCACGATCTGAAGGTCCGAGCATAGCTATTCTCAATGCTTCCCCGAATAAAGCATTCTACCGAACAAGCTGTGGGACTTGCTCTTCGAATGCTCTATTTGGAGAAGCATTGCTTTTTTGTGTCGTTGTTTCTCGGGACTCATTTTGGGATTTCCAGCATTGCTGTTTGTTGTTTGACATGAAGACTTCTGCATCAAATTGAGCTGATGACTTCTATAGTCGATCGCGATGACGCGAGTCTCCCTGGTCATATCAAGTGATGTCACTCAAAATGTTCACCGTGATATGACTCAAGGGAGTTCAATGCTAGATAGATGAGGCAGTGCGCCGTGAGGGATGGGCTCGGATATAAAGTAAGAACATACGTAACAGGTAAATTACGAGCCTTAGATGAAACGACTGAAGAAGAGTGCTATACAAGCCTTTCACAACTTCAAGTCGCGTAAAAAATTAGCCAGCTCAACTAGAAACTGTGGACAGCTGTTTCGGCCTGTATTGGGCTTCGTCAGCACAGTGTATCTAGTGAGCTGGCAATCCCACGAAAAAGTAGTACTAGATAGACGAGGCAGTGCGCCGTGTGGGATGGGCTCGGATATCAAATAAGAACATACGTAATAGGTAAATTACGAGCCTTAGATGAAACGACTGAAGAAGAGTGCCATACATTAAGCCTTTTACAACTTCAAGTCGCGTAAAAAATGAGCGACTTGAAGTTGTGAAAGGCTTGTATGGCACTCTTCTTCAGTCGTTTCATCTAAGGCTCGGAGTTCAATGCTGTCAATAATTTGCGTTTGACAGGTCTTTGTCTTTGGTCTAGCCAATCAGTGTTAGCGAAAATAAGTTAATGGTGCATATCCTATAATGTMTTCGCTACATTATACCGATCTTTGAAAATCACTCAACTGTAAGTACATGTCGCATAAAACAATAGAATTCTGCCCGATGCACTAAATAAAAAATGTGGTTGGTATGAAATAACAACAAAAAGCATATTCTATTCAGCTTTATTCCTCATTCATTCATAGCTTTCGTGTTACTCTTCAAATGTTGAGAAACTGAAAAGTGTCCTCTCTAAAACTAAGATTCTAKACATCATGTATTTGCAACTAAATCTGGAGACTTGTAAACAAAATGACGTCACAACTTGTGATAAATTTTCTTGAATTTCTAGAGAAATACATTGAAACAAATTTAACCATGATATTCTTATTAGTGCAAATAAACTTTTTCAGCATTAAACATATTTCGTGTCATATGCACCTTTAAATGACTTATATCGAACTTTATCCATTTATTCTCTTCAGAACTCTTTATCCCTCTCTTTATTCTTCTCTTTCTTTCTTTTTTTCTCTCACATTGTTCTTTTGTTTAACACTTTTAACTTACCTTTAGCCAATAATAATCCACAGACTGTAAGTCTTTAGGTTCGTGCCATTTCACTTCCAGTTTTGTTGTCCCTATAGGTTTTACTGCGAGACCACGAGGACYTGAAAGCGAACAAGAATGCAAAATTGAATAGAAAATATTTAGGGGAAAAAAATAATCTGTCATAATCTGTCTGGTGGGTGCGCGTGCGGGGGTGGGGCTCAGGGTGGCGGAGAGCTTGTCTCTCCTTTATTTAGTACATATTCATATAYTTATACTTCATTTATAGAGCATTTTTCGCTAATTACGCTGCTTAGGGTCTTTCTTTATAATGCATTTTTGTCATGTTTTGTTGTTTTTCTTGGGAGTTTTCACATAGGGATAACCTCATAACTTCCTTTCAAGTCGCCCATTATTGTGCTTTGTTGTCTTATTTGTATCGCTTTTTGCTAGCCTCTGCTCTTACTTGTATTTTACTATTTGTCAATAATTTATTTGCGATTTGAATAAACTATGTATGTATGTATGTAAGAATTGTATAATTATACTTACATTCAGACCCGGAACAAACTTTCAGGCACCGTTCTCCACCGGTTCCTCTGGGACATTGACATTGGTATGATCCAGATCCCCGTGGGTGGTAGGGGTGGGGTACACATTTGCCACCATTGAGGCATGGACATTGTACTATACGTACTCTCACATGTATTATATCAAACGCGCCACACTCGTCAGTCACTTGAAAGGTAAACTTTTTATTCTGATTGGATGTCACCTTCCACGTGAATAAACCAGAAAGACTGAGTGTAAATCCAGTAGCTGTAGAACTGAGTACAGAGTATGTTAGGGGACGGTTATCGGAGTCTGTTGCTTTCAGTTGGATCACGAGTCCTTCTCCTTGTAAGGCAAAATACGTGGTTTTTGAAGGAAACCTGGGAACTTGATTGTCTGTGAAGTTATGAAGGAAAAACGGTATGATGTCAAAGTCCATGTTGTAATAGGTAAAGATTGTTTAATGACCAAACATACTTTTTCTACTTGTCCAAGCAATTTGGTCAGCATGGGGTAAGCACTGCTGGCACCAGTCACGTGGGTTGGGTTCATTTGCAGCAAAACAATGTCCATTTATTAAACAGGAATTGTTCTAAAATAAAGAACACAAACAATTACATTAATTATTACATAATCAATGGGAAACAATATTTATATCACAATCTTACTTGCATAAATCTCAGCAACTTTTGTTGCTCGCCACACGATGATACAAGGCTATTTCATTCCAAGTGAATTTGAATGGTGTTATTTTTAGAAATGTCTGAAATAGCATATTCAATTTATTTGGTACTTCAAAAAAGTGATTCTTGTCTTGTATAAATGATATACCACATAAAATTATTCAGGATGTGTATCACACGAAGAATGAATGTGTACCAAAATCACGGCTTTAAATTTCCAGAATAGTAGCTATAGATTACTTAAGTATTTTTGATACACGAAGCATAATGGGATACTATTAGTCAATTTTAAGTTGTTATGTATTTTCTTGGTCTATGGTGAAAACTATTTATAGTTTGGTCTAGCTCTTCCCCACAGAGATACGTACCTTATATGATACACGAGGCATGCATGATGACCAACCCAAGGTGAGAACCCAAGATTCTCCTCTAGTCATTTCATTTACAATTTGGTGTACCTCTTTGTCAATTAACTACTTACTTTAACTTCACATCTCCCTGATTTGCTGCAGTTCATGCACTTTGAGTCGTAAGTCACATGACGCAGTCGTTGAACACTTGTATTGAACCCATCATTAGAAACCGAGATCAAAAGTCCCCCAGCAGGGGTACCCCCGTGTTTGTAGTCACCAAGTCTAGTCGGTGGCTCAGGCAGATTGCACTGAACACCAAACAGATCCGTCATTTTCCCTTGTGATGTGACAGGAATTCCACGAGGAGACCAGGTACCTGGGTAAACCTAAGATAACCATCACACAGACGTGTTACCTTCACATTCAACCACTTGCAAAGGCTTCACAGACTGATACAAAAAACACCATTTGATGAAACTAAAGCTCATTTCTTCAAAGCTGCTCAAAACCACATGGTTCCCTGCCCCACTAGTATAACGAGGTTCAATAGTATATCTATATATATCTATGTTTGTATATGATTTCCATGTATTACTTTTACTTCATGTATATGGCATGTTAGGTTCTCAGATTTGATAAAGTTCTGGCCCAAGATATTTGTCTTTTTACACGGTCGTTCTCGTATATCACAGAGTCCACCATCGTAAATTCTAAGCAAGTAGTCAAAAGAAACACAAATTTGACTTGATTAAAAAGAAGTTGACCGGATCCAGTGATTTAGTCTGGGGATCGCCTCAAACGTAGGGTAACGTAGGTAAATTTGTCTACGAAAGACTACTTTGRATGAAACCAAAGGGTATAACTAAACGATTACCTAGTCAACAATATTTATAAAGGAAAGGACTCGTTCAAACAAACAATTTCCTGAACCCATAATTAAAAAGCATACTTTGCACCAAATTGGAATCCATTCAACTATGTACTTGGAAATACTTTTAGAAAAGGGCTCGTGCAAAATAGAATTGATCTTAAACTTTTATACAGGAAATGGAATAAAGCCGAAAGCTAGAACAATGATCACAAAGACGAAAAATCCTTATTACATTTTTTTTCACAATTATACAGTTATACTGTGCACGTGTGGTTTGTATTCTACTTACCCCAGCAACTCARGAACTGAATTAATCTGCATGGAACAGTCCAGTGCAGTATAGCCTTCGTCACATATACAGGTTCTGTTCTTACACTTGCCACGTCCAGTACAGTCTGCAGGACACAAGTCTTTTACTACCTCTCTGGGAGGCATTAAGTCACCACTTGCAGTATGAGTGTAGAGTGAAAGGTTCTTTAATGTGGTATCTTCACATATGTACTTCATGGTSTCAAATGCCAACACTGCAAATGTCTAGTCTCCTGACAACTAAGAGTGTCAAAATATAAGCAAATACCATTGAGTTATTTCTAATTTCACATATCTCTTAATAATGCACCCTTTCCTCCTGTTTTCATAGTCATATTAAATATTGCTTTACCTTTAAGTCGTTAACACACTGTATCATTGCATTTTTCAAGTTGGTTCCTGAGATCTCATTGCATGCCTTTCCTGCTTTTGTTTCTTCAATTTGTGTTTTACAATACTGAGTTGCCTCATCTTCTGATATGACTTCTCTTGGTGATCTCTTGTTTCGTATGCGGTTTACAGCGAGTTGTACATGAGGATCATCCACATAGTAGCTACGTTCCACGTGATCAATGATGTCATCACTATACCAGTGACTGTCTACAGATCTTTTCATACCAAACTGTGATTGGTCATTTATTTGAGTATTAAGTACTTCTATCTGAGTAGCGTCGATTCTTGTGAAAAGGTTTGCGTTGTCATCACATCTTTCATCCTGTTTTGTTTCACCTTCGATGCCACAATAGCAGGATCTTCCTTGTTCAACTTGTTCTTGAAGTTCTTGTTCAGGGAGAACCTCAAAAAAGCTCTTCCCTTCTTTAAGACTGTTAAATCGATATAAACAAAATTGTTGCATTTGTGCTTGCGCATGTGTTATCAGTTCTATTTTTGTAATTGACTTACCGCCAGCTTGCTGAAAATTGTTTTTTATCATCATGAGCTTTATCATCACCTCCTTTGTTCCAATCGTCTTCCGGATCGTCATTAAAGTGACAAAGACAAAGCCCCAAGACTTTTCCCTAGTCAGTAGATGGTGCATTGATACGAACATCCAGTGACCTTCCAGAACGTTCCACTTAGACTCTGATACCCGAAGACAGAATTACCTTTACATATGAAAAGCCGAAAACAATTTTGTGAAATCAAAAAAATAAACACCTAAGCCGGACAGAATAAGTTAGAAACTCGCGAATAAAAGATATATATAATTTTGAAAAGTGTGAATTTTGTTAGAAGAGCTTTTTTGGAAGCAAGAGATGCCCGCCTCCAACGCGGAATGTTTTCACACACAAAATGTTTTGAAACTACTTTCTTTAATTTCCAACTTTTAGCAACTTTAACAAGCTCTTTTAAGGTATGGTAATTATTACTCGCCATTAATTATCGTTTGAGCTAAGGGTTGCAGTGATAGAAAATGTACCTCCTGCTCCAATGATGAACCACTGATCTTCTTAGTGATTTGTATTCCTTTCGATAGACTTCCAGGACTTCGTTTGAGAGTCCTTAGTATTGTAGGCACTGAATCTTTCATTTTGTTACACATAGATATAACTATGACGTCTTTTCCCTCTCGTATTGCTGCACCGCATACACAGGTCATTTGGCCAGCACATATCCAAAGACGAACATGAACCTGTTGAAAAAGGAATAAGGATCTATTATCAATGATTGATAATTCATTGTTTAATCATAGGATTTATAAAGCAACAAAAATATACCTCGATGACTTATTGTCACTAAAGTAAAGGCAGGTTTTGGTTAGAAACAGAAATCACGAATCATCCTCTCAGTACTAAAAACCAAGAGAATTTGAAGTAAGAGAGCACATCTCCGTGCCCTATGAAGTTTTTTGAAAATCTATTTTTAGCTCCGCGCGCAAGCCTGAGCTATTTCAGCATGCGACTCCTGATTGGTCAGATTGTAGTGACGTCATGGGTACATAAGAGATGGGCAGTAACAAGCAAGCTTCATGCAGTTGACAAACCAAACTTTATTCAATTTTAGGCATAAAGGCAAAAAAACTGAATCGCAAGTAAAATGCCCTTCAAGCAGGTAAAAAATCTCTTCTCTATTAGTTTGAAGTCCAATACCAAATTTTATTCGATTTTTGTACTTGGCCGATGATTGTATTTCTAATGTCTGTATGGGGACTTTAGAAGTTGAAAAGTTATGGTAAAATACCTGAACATTGAGGCGAAGAGAAAATTGAAGGTGCAAAATATGGAACAAAGCGCCTTTGAATATATCCATATAGAAAGGGCGCTATATAAATCATAAATCATGATGTGCCTTTTTGTAGTTTTTTCCTCGGTGATAACAGTATTTTTTCTTCAGTACATTTCGGTGCAAATAGTTTGTTTTGATTCGTGTGTGAAACAAAATACTCGTCTTGTTCATCATCATCTTAATCATTTGAACTTAAACTTTATTTACTATCAGAAACGCTACGATAAATGCTCTTTTTCGCTGTCTTCACTGAAGGTACTTCGCTATTTTCATCACTATGATTTTCTATCGCTGTTTTCTTCCTTTCTTCCTGTTTTCTTCTTTTCTTCGATGTTTTTAGATTGTTCGTATACTGAAAACCATCCTGATTTAATCTTTTTCGATTTTCTTTTTAATTTTTTGTTGAGTTTAATGTTTAATTCGTCTATGAAGAATACATGTTAGTTTAATTTCAACTTTGTCTAGTTATGAAGAAATTTTTCTCGTCGGAAACTAAGTATTTTTCGCTCGCATTGTCACTACAACTTAGGCAATCAGGAACCGCATGCTAAAAATAGCTCAGGCTTGCGCGCGGAGCTAAAAAACACAACATTATGCTGACAGCATAATTGGAAAATTAAACGAGACTTACCTGTAAGTTGAAGTTTGATTGAGATTCTATCACATGACATTGGAAGGAAGGAGATCACATGAGATAGCACAGCGCTTGCGCAAGTCATTCTTTAAAACGATGTTTGTTGCATCAACATAAAATCCCGAAATATATATATTTATATACCCCAGCTGATGTAATGTATAAATAGACAAGGGCGGGAAGAGGTGGGCATGTGATCTCCTTCCTTCCAATGTCATGTGATAGAATCTCAATCAAATTTCAACTTACAGGTAAGTCTCGTTTAATTTTCCAATTCTATCACATGACAGGAAGTCAGGTGATCCCATGAGACTTTAAAGCTGTTGATGCATCAAACATTAATGGCACACATTAAGAGTGTATAAATATGTCTTATAGACCAACGATACAAGATGGTGCAAACACAAAGTATTGATTTATTAATTTTCACGAAAGAATTACTCGAACTTGAACAACTGTATATGTATATGTATATATAGGTAGATATGGCTTCAAATCTTCAATATCACATCCGTGATGCTAGTACTAGATTCAACTGGTTTATCGTAAAATTTGTAAAACGTTTCCGCTGACTTCCAGCCAGCATTAGCCATTATTTGATCTATTGGTACGTTTCCTCTGCTGGCCTTTGATGTCGACGCTGCTCTAGTACTATGTGCTTTATAGACGTTAGTATCGACRCCACTTTTATCAAGGACAGTCTTTGTCCATCTGGAGATCGTGTCTCTAGATACGGGCTTAAACGGTTTCACATAGCTGATGAATAACTTGGTTTCGCTTCCTCTAAGCTGCTTGGTTCTGTTTATGTATTCCTTAAGACATGCTAAAGGACAATTATTTGGGTAAATTTCATAGGCACAAATCTGAAGTATATCGTAAGGCTTTCCTGGTTTACTGGTTTTTGTATGGTCGAGTACATGAAAAACATATTTGTCCTCTGAAGGAACTAGATTATTTATGTGCAGTAAATGAATTGTCTGACCTCTTTGGCTTGATACTAGTAACAATAACATAAGTAATTTAAGTGTCAAATTCTTAAGTGTTAATGATTCATAAAGATAGAGTCCTGACAGATAACGTAAAACGATTGACACATCCCATATTTCTGTGTATTTAGGCGTGGGTTTACGCAACTCAAAAATTCCTTTCATAAATCTGGTAACAATTGGGTTGTTACCGAAGTCTTTTATATTAACTACGGTAGACAAAGCGGAGCGTGCAGTGTTAAGCGTTGAGTAACTGACGCCCTCTTGATAAAGTTTCATGAGGGATTTAAGAGTGTCGTTTACCGTTGGTGAATGATTACAAAACGCCATCCACCTCCGGAGGTACGTGTTGTACTGTTTTTGAGTGGATGGTCTCCAAGAGGCCAAGAGCACTTCGGTAACGTTTGCTGGAATGCCCAAGTTTCCATAGTGTTCCCTGATAAGGGACATACCATCAGGCATAGTTTCCGACACAGTGGATGTGGTTCGTTGCGTGACGGGTGTCGCAGTAGGTCCATTCTCGGAGCGTAGATCCACGGTTGTCGATATAACTGCTGTAGTAGTGTTGGGAACCATGTCTGAGTTGGCCATAATGGAGCAATCAGTATTCCACGAGCTTTGTCTTGTGTTATCTTGGATAGGCATTTCGGGATTAGGCTGAATGGAGGGAAGGCATAAAATTCATAATTATTCCAATTAAGTGAAAACGCATCTACATGGCTACTGCCAGGGTCTGGCTTCCACGAGCAATATACGTCAAGCATATTGTTTAGCCGGCTAGCAAACATATCAATGTTAACTGTAGGGAACAATTCGATAATCTCGTTGAAACATTGTTCGTTAATCCGCCACTCATGTTTGTCATTAAACTTTCGCGACTTTTCATCCGCTTCGATGTTGAGTTTTCCTGCGATATGCACCGCAGAAACCCACAGGTTCCTAGCGATACACCAATCCCACACTTTAATGGCAAGGGAGTTAAGAAAAACAGATTTAGAACCTCCCATATTRTTAATGTAGGATACTGCTGTGGTGTTATCGATAAAGATACGTACATGTTGAGTGTCTAAGTTAGAGCAAAAGCATTTCAGTGCAAAAAAGGCCGCCTTTAATTCCAGAACGTTGATGTGCAGCGTRGCCTCAGAGGACATCCATCGCCCTCCCGCTTTTTGCTCTCCGTATATAGCACCCCAACCAAGGTTAGAAGCATCCGATTTAATAACAATGTCAGGATTGTCCCGCACAATGTCACGTTTGAGATTTTGTACATTATATAACCACCACCTTATCTCAGAGACAGCACGCGTTGATAAACTCATGGGCCCGGCATAGTTTCCTTTAGACAGAACAAGGGCAAAATATTTTTCTTGTTCGAGTTCCCTATAGTGTAATGGTCCAAATTCAGCCCCGGGGAAGTTGGAAACTAGTGTTACTATTGACTCAGTTTTAGCTAAAACCGCAGAACAAACAGAGACAATTTTCTCTTTCTTTTCATCAGTAGGCACAACTGTCATCGTGTTTGAGTTTAAAATAAATCCTAGAAAAACCAGTTGTTGCGTTGGTGTAAATACTGATTTGTCGGGATGTACACAAAACCCCAATGAAGAAAACAGCCGCACAGTGTCAACAACATTGTTATAGCATTCTCTGTAACTATCACCTTGCAAATAAGAGTCGTCGATGTATGCTGAGCTAACATGCCCCATGCTGCGGAGTGTCGAATAAACTGGCTTTAGTAGCTTAGTAAATAAGCGCGGCGCACTAGCTAACCCATTTGGTAAGCAAGTGTACTGGTAGAACTTGCCATCAAACCAGAATCTTAGATATTTCT